GGTCTCAGGATGATTGTCAAAATGTTGTAAAATACGATTCCCTGCCTGCAAATCTCTTCGTAACGCTGCTTGAAATCGGTTGTTTTCTTGTCGAATTGAAAATGTTCCAGTCTCTCGCAATCTATTAAATGTCAACATAAACACTCTTCGGTTTGGCACTCTTCTGTTTGGAAATCGTCGTGCATATTCTCGCACCGCCTTTAAAGCATTACCGTTGCAGAAACCGTATACAAAAACCATATCAGCATATTCACTATTAGAATACGTACGCGGCATATTGCAAAAGACAAAATTCATCTACTGTTAAAGGCTTTCAAAGAGCGACTGACAAATTCATAACAGAAAGTGGAAAATGTAATCAAATATGTCGGTGCTAGATATGGCAAGAAATGTAAACATTTTTTTTCGATTTCTCTGAAACGGAGCAAAAACGAGCATATGTCTATAGGACTTTTTTTCTTAGTTTTTTACTCCTCTACACGCTCCCGAAGTTTTGCGATTTAATTTGGAAACACCCTGTATATAATAATACAATTTTATATAATTATTTCATTAATTATAACATTAAGTTTAATCTTTCTCTCGTACGCACATTTTCTCTCCCAATATGTACACACATTAATGTCGATCAACGAAAAATCAACAATTAGAGCAAGCAAATTTCATCGAGATATATTGTATGCTTCAATTGGAAGAAGCCACGAGCCCCTTGCCCCTCGCTAATTACCATGCCAATTTTGTCCACGGTGCCGATAGTTCGTCTTCCTTCCCGTTCTCCTTGGTCGATGCCTCGGTCGGCCCTTCCGCTGCCGTCGATAAATAATCCTCCGTCAGACGTTCATTACGTCGTTAAGTTTCGGCCCCGGACTTACATCCACCCTCCGTCCCGCACGCGGAACCCAACGAGCGGGTTTGCCCGCAGCGGTAACCCTGGAAATACCGCGTGCCGTATAAAAAGGCATGCCGATCGCACCAATCAATAAAGAATATCGGCATTAGTGAGACTAAGAGCAACGAGCGACTTCCTTAAAAATTAATTGATCTTTAATAGACAGAAATAACAGAAATTTTAACTTCTCATTTGAAATTAAGGAAGTGAATGAAACTGCACATATACCTAATCACGTGATAAATTTCAGAAAAAAAATTCTAGGATAAGAAACAATTAAATTTTTTTTATCAATTACACAGAAAAGACGATTTTATAGAAAAATCTAAAAATTTAGCTAAATACAAATTTGAAAATAAGTTTGTTAGACAAAATAATTATGTAGGATGCTCAAACTGGTTGCTAAAATGTCAAAACTTTTTGCAACAATGATTATCCTGTTTGAATTTTTTAAGTAATTATTTTGATGCCGAATTTTTAGATACTTTACAAAACCGTTTTTTTCTATGTTACTGTCAAAAATTTACGACTAATTTTTTTATTTAGAAATTAAATCAGATTCAAATATGAGAATTTATTACGATTAAAGTACTATGTGTTAATTAATACTTTATGAATAATAATATAATGAAAAATGCCATACACAGCGTTGTTTTATTTTCGCGCAATTATTACGGCCTATATCCGATAAGATATCGCGATATGAATGTCTGCATTGCACTAACTGTAAAATCAGATAGCAGATGCCAACGTTCCTCGGTTGCTCGCAGTAAAAATAACTGGAAAGATCGAATGACAGGCATTAGCTGTTACTTTCGCGAGACTCGGAAATGTGCAGCGCGCAAATGCATCGTACAATTACCGCAGCAATGTTGCAAAAGTATTCCGAGAAGTAACGTGTTTCTCGCCGTGGGCGATTCATGTGGGTGCACGCGCAATAACTTCACGGAACAAAAGTAGAAGTATCTCTGTTTGTACCACCCGGATTACGGAATGAATGGCACATTAATTTATATATTTGCGATTTGCGCAATGCGTTTACACCTCATTAATTTAAGAACCGTGGACGAGTGAGCGCGTTGGGAACGCCGGAGAATTTCTCGCGCAACTGTATTATATGCGCCATAAAGTTTGTCTCGTTATTTATCGTTAATAACGCACTCGTCTAATTAGCCTCTCGCGATCTCGAATAAACTCTTTTCATTTTTCTTGATTCCGTCCCGATTATTTCATCCACCGTGGATGAAACTGTTCCGCTTATGGAAAAGGATACTTCTGCTTCTCTTCTGGTTTCTCGTAGAATTAACGAGAGATACATACTTCTATTTTATTTCTTCCGACTTTCGCAATTTTTCTATAACTTTTAATCTTTACAAAAAGCAAAAAGAGAAAAATAAAATCGGCTGATCAGGCTGAGTAATAAACTAATAAGGATGAAGGATCGTCGATGAGGCGTCGATACCAAAAATAAACGGATTAAAGGCACGACTTTATTAGCGGGAAAATTAGACGGACGAGAGAAAGAGAGTGTCTCTTTCGTCTCAGATTATTTCCCGGCATTATTCGCCGAAGAAGACATTGGCTATAAAAAAGGGACAAGCAGATCCGGCGACAGCTGCTTCGCTATTAAAAGCGACTTAAACTCCAAAACCCTTCCTGCGATCGTAGAACGCGAAGGTACTCCTTCCCGCCCCCTCCCCCACCCTCGTCCAGTCACTCACTCTCTATTTCTCATCCGCTCCCTTTCGCTTCTTCTTGTTCCTCTTGCTCTTCTCCACGTCGTCGTGCCATCCCTCTTCTCGTGATTACGCGCGAGCAAAGCGTAAAGCCACGCGTACGCGTCTACGCGCCTGCGACTTCTTGCCTGCAAATAAGCGAATTGCTAAATGAGCCGTAAAGCCGAACCTCGGGGATGTGAAGAAAGAGACAAGGGCAGAATGCGCACGGGCCCCACTTGGTCCTAGATTAGAATTTAGAGCCGGCATCCTCTCTGTCTCTCTCGAGAGCACCGCGGGTACGTGGGGAACGGCAGTAAAACACATTCAAGAAGAATGGCCGTTCGAAATATTAAAGAGCGAGATGAGAAATGGACCGTGAGTAAAGGGACGCGCGCGGGGCGATTACAAAATTATTGCCTCTCTCCGTTGTGTCTCGCAATAACTTTTACAACTTTGTGGTATTAATTAAGAAACACGTTTTACGCTTCTTATACTTTTATTGTTATAAATCATTCGATTTAAGCAAAAAATGAAAGATGCATATACAGAGGAGATAGACAAAATAATGTGAACACTTAAGAAATATAACTATTCACTTATTTTCTTAATAAGAAATTGACCTACCATTTATCTTTAACACAAATTCTATCTTTGTTCAAATAGTCATACATGCTTAAATAATGCAGTAACTGCTTAAACAGTGCAATATTATTATTATTCTTTTCGCGGAACGTCTTATATTTAAATCAAGCAATTGTATTAGCCAAGAAAAATGTTGAAATTTTAGAAAACTGAGGGCAATTTTGAAAATAAAATGAAAAAAAAATTTTTTTCTTCAACACATTATTTATATAAGCAATTGAAAGACGTTAAAGAATAATCCAACATTCTCTCCATTCATATAATTTATTAAAGCATTGAGTGACTATTTCAATAAGGATAAAATGTGTATTTTTTAAAAGCAAATGATGAGCCAACTTCTTATTAATAAAACAAGTAGTAAAATAAATAGTGTATTTTCCAGATGTTTATATTATTTTATCTACCCTCCGTATCTCTCGATCATAACCGTAAGGCGCGAGAGTCTTCGTAGAATTTTTGTTTTCTTACATTAAACAATTAGTTTATTTACAAATAAAATGCGCGAGCGCGATTGTTCCGTAAGTAACTGATAAATGCTTAAAAATGTAAGACGGATGAGCTCACGGCACTTTGTGGGTTCACGTTCACCGACAAAATCGGATGTCGCGAAAGTTCAAAACTGTCTATTTGCATGGACACGATTAATTAATACGATACCGGCAATTAAATAGATATCAACCTTCTCCGCGTACGGTAGCATCTAATCTGCATAATCTCTATACAATAACGTCAGTGAAAAGAAGAGTTTTGTCCCTCCGACGATAACTTTTTGCCACCCTCCCTCTACGGTCAACACCCCGTTAATAAAGATATACAGGGTGACTCAAAACGAGTGAAACGGAACATTAATTATGACACGACATACTCCTTACTAGAATCTGGAACAAAGATTAAATAGAAATATCAAGTCGTACTAATTTATTTCAATAAATCACTTAAGCTTCACAGATATACCTAAGTATAAATACATAAAGAAAGCTTTAATCTTTATTCACAATTAACAGACTGCATTTTAGTGGAATCTTTACTCCATCAGGATTAATCAAAGTATTCTAGATAATGAAATATTCTAATAAATAAATCATGCCAGAGGTCCCGGATTCGACCCCAGTAGAAACCAAAATATTTACGCTCGTGTCTCTTCTCGGAAAAGGCCGGCAACTTCCCGAGAGTATCCTTTCCTACAACACCTTCTTAGAACACCTCTCGAAAAATCCGCCATTTGGAACCGGCATTAAAACTGTAGGTCCCATAGCAATCGAATAATCAGCGTATATACCACAAACATATGAGAGAGGTATACACAAGCCAGAGGCCTAACGTAAGAAGAAGAGGAAAAAATAAATTATGGATTAAATAATTTAATAATGTGATATTTATTGAATCATTTGATCCAAGGAATTCATAATTTATTTCTTCTTTTAATTAAAATTCTTTTAATTATAATTAAAAGCAATAATGTTGTGATCTTAAATAATTTTATAAAGCATCAAATTATTAAATTATCTGAAAATTATAATTTTCAGGTTGTCGATTATTTATTCATAAAATTTATATATATATAAAATTACAATACTTAAATTTATCTCGCTCTATAATATTCAAATGTACAAACCCTTAAGTCACTTCCAGAATGATATACAGTTTTTTCCATTTAATTTACAATTAATCAATATGAAAATTAAAATTTGCTAATAAACGTATGTGCGATTTTTTCCTCGAAAATTATTAAATGACTTTTTTTTCCAAAGAAAAACGAGAACTCAAATCGTATCAGAGGACAAAAGAAGGAAATATTATCCGAAAAGGTGTTTGTTTAAATCACGATTAAAAAAATATATAACAAGTATGTCTCTTAGTATTTTTTATTTCCATTCTTTTTTTTATTTATTTGCGTAACAGATAAATAATTATAGTTTGAGAGTGGAGAACAGATATTAATAATGGAGTTGAAATGCCATAAGTATACATGATACACAAAATGGTACGGCACCAGCAAAACTGCTGCTATAACTCCTATCAGAATATAACAGACTATAACGATACTAGGCTTGATAATGAAATTTCTATGTATATAATTAATATAATTTTACGTATATAATTAAGTATTAAATTGGCCTCAAGATTCATCTATTTGTGATTAACGAATGCATTAACGTCTCAAAACTGGTTTCAATCGAGTTTCTCAGCAGAATCGCAAACGTCCTCAGATAAGATCGAAGTAAAGTTATATTTCCGCGTAGCTCCGTTTATCGTGAAATATACTTTGTTGCTCGGCACATAGTCGTCCGGCAACCATGGCATCCAAGTGTTGTTAAAGTTGGACGGATAGCCAGCAGGATCGGCGTCTAAAATGATCTCATTCTCGTAGCCCAGCTTTTTATAGCACTCGATGAGCACGTTCAAACTCTGCATGACCTGCAAATGTAACGACGTTTTTTTAAGCTGACAGCATTTCTCATTTCCATCTTGCCTGCGCCAGTTGGAACGATTTTTATGTAATTAATTGTATAAAAGTCATTTTCTTTCGTAGCGATCGCAAAAAATCACAAATATTGGCGCATATTACATCGTAATTCAATATCACAGTTTTGGACGTAAGCATAAAACACCCACAAAAATTGTGAACGTTCCGTAACTATTCCATACTTAACTTTCTCTATTCTTATTTGCAATTGTGCAAGACGTGAAAACATGCAATAATATTTATCTTAAACATTCTACAGTAACGTATTGTAATGCGGTATTAAGTGTATATCGAACTATAACTATAAATACAAAGTGAGTTCTCACTACTCCAATATACTGCAATAGTATTGTTCACGTTTACCTCGTGTTTGTAATTCGCTCCAATGTTACTTTTCCTCCCAATGTTTTTATCTTGCGATTTTGATTTAATCTTACCTCAGGATACTGAGAAGATATATCCGTAACTTCGCAAGGATCTTCATAGATATCGAATAAGCAAGTACGATTTTCGCAATCGGAAGTCGTAAGATTCTCGCAAACTACCGTGGCCTCTTTTCGGAGCTCTTCTATTTTACTTGCAGTTACTACGTGAGTTGAAACATTCGCTATGGCTGATGCAGCTGGTGACTTTAATACATTTGTCACGTTATATTTGGGATACGACGGGTCATTACCTTTATAATCAGTATAATGCTTCTGAAACTCGGACTTATCTGTATAAGAAAAAAGAAGCAGAATTCATTCGTATTAATCACGTATTTTTAAACCGAATTTTTGATGAAATCAGAGACTTGAAAAAAAAAGAGGAAGAGAGAGAAAACTTATAATAAAATTATGAAAAAAAATATTGATATGTACCTTGAACAAGTTTGTAACGTCCCATTAATGCAGCACTGTAATCAACGTCTTCGATATTTATGACAACCGATTTCCGCTTGCTAGTTTCCTGTGTTTTGATCGTGGACCACTGGTCAATGCCATCCAATTGGTTCAAATCGTTTGAATTACCGCCAGCTGCGGAGTATAGCGTGGGTAGCCAATCGGTAATATGAAAGAATTGCGTTGAGACCCTCGACGAGTTCTCAATCAAGGGTGAGTAAATGCACGCCGCACCTCGAACACCCCCTTCGTATAGCGAGGATTTCAACTGCAAATGCATTGTTTCATTTTTTAAAAACTATAAATATACCGTTTTTTCATTTGAAATGGCATTTTCTTATGTTATAAAATTGTCATGTCGATTTGAACAAAGTATTTACCCCCCGTAATGGATAATTAGATCCAAAATTTTGATATAATGGACCTTCGGTTTGCGCTCCATTATCGCTTATAAAAAGTATGATCGTGTTCTTTAACATGTCCTTCTTGTTTAGAGCATCGACCACCCGACCGACAGATTTATCTAATGTGGCAACGACACCTAAAAAAAGAGTTAAGAAGAAATTTTATTACAACGAAATTTGCTGTAACAACAAAATATTTGCTATCAACGAAATTGATTGTAAAATACGAAACGAATCACACAGTTTTAAAGAACTATTCATAATCGCTATTAAATAAGACGCAACTTTTGATTTCTCATAAAATATAATGTTAACGACACTTTTAATAAAAGCGACTAAGAGATTTGTACTTACTCGCGAACTTCCTTCTGTTCACGTCTTGGATGTAGCCGAGAGTGGCATTCGTTTCATTCCAATCATATACTTCCATGACTTCTTCGGCATCGCTAGCATGTGAGGCGACATGCGCTAGTTGCAGATACATGGGCCTCTCAGTATTATGCGATGAAATAATATTTTCAGCCTCCTCGGTTATAAGATTAGTCATGTAGTCATATCTATATTCAACTGTGTGATTATCGCCTACGATACGGTGCAAATCATAGCCTATTTGTCCCTGCAAAATATATGTTATATACGGTCTATTAAATAACGAGTATTATTTAACATTATTATATAGCCTTGAGTATAAGTATAAAACCTCAATTTATTCTGATGAAAAAGAGCTGACGATAATAAAAGTCACAGGAGAACTAACAAAATATTAAAATTTTGTTATAAAACCAAATATTATTTTCCAATAAAACTGTTTTTAATTTATTTTTCGTTAGATGTAGAATATTTACGTCAATTTTTTGAGCTGTTTTAAACTTATGACTAAAGCTGTATAACAGCCTTATAACATCCTAATTGATGATGTTGATAGCAACTAAATATCGATGTGTTTTTTATTCGACAGTTAGCGTAATTGTTGTAAAATCGCTTACAACCAATAATAAATATTCTATCAATTGACGATAAATGACGATTTTCTTCCATTGCTTTAAACAAATACCTAAATGCGAAATTATAGTAAATGTTATGTTACTTTTAGTTGGTGTCAACTTACATATTTTTTTAAGACATTGGAAAAAAATTGTTTATCGTTAATTGATAGACCAATCAAACCTCTATTATCTGTTGCAAACAATAACAATTACGTCAACCATCGAACAAAATACTGAAGAAACATATAGATTTTTTCTACTATAATTCTATATAATAATACTATCTTTTTTTTTCTAGCAATAGTTAATTATAGAAAACTTGCGTTTTCGGCTAGTGTATGATTGAAGTATTCAATAACGCCGTTGAAATAACCCAAGAAAGTGTCGAAACCACGACGAGTGGGTAGGTAATTTCTCGTGAGATAACCAACATGCCACTTCCCTAGGAGATGAGTAGTGTATCCGAGTTTACGAAGATACTCAGGTAAAAGAGTATCGTTCAAGTGCAGACCACGTGGTTCGGCTGCTTTCAACGGGTAGCCCTGCATGCCTATGTTATAATTCACAAATTTAATTCCAATAATTTCCTTTTCATCCAAACAGCTTCGGTATCTTTTCACGCTTTGTAACACACAATAGTGATCATTACGATTTGGAAATCAATAATATTATAAATTGTATAAATAACGGAAAGACTAACAATAACATTTTAAAGATAAACTTTCGAATATCTTACACCCACATTCTATTAATGCAGCTTTTAATTAAACATATAAACATTTTTAGTGGTCTTAAATTGAGATATTACTTATTAGAATGTCTTTTAATTTTAATATTAATAATTAATAAGTAATAAATAAGTAAAATGAAAATAAATAAATAATTAATAAATAAAAGATAAATAAATCAAACAATTTTTAGATTTTAGGCCGGCAAATGAATTAGAAGATAGTCGCGGTAATTTGCTACAGAGTAAAATGAACAGTACATCGTGTCATTTATATATATACATACGAGTATATATGAAAATTATTTGCATTATATTGAAAATAATTAATGGTTTACCTGTCCTTAGGGGATGCCGCCCGCTAAGGAAAGCTACCCTTGACGGTGTGCACACCGGCATTACATAATGTCGATTCAATATCACGCCGTTGTATGCGAGAGCGTCTATATTCGGAGTAGGAATCTCATCGGCACCGTGGAAGCTAACATCGTTCCATCCCTTAATTAACGAAATACATATGGTATATATTAAAAAATGTGTTACATAACATTAGTACGTAAATTTACACTTTTGGATCATTGTCTAAATGTTTATTATAGTTTTTCAGATACTGAACATGAATTCGTTTCCTAAAAACTATCAAAGAGACGAGAAACAAAATTTTGACGGCTTTTATGCTGTAATATGGTCAGTAATTTTAACTTTTTCTAAATTTTATTAATGTCACGTGAAAGTATAAGTTATTAACTTTAAAATGGATCTTGCTTCGTCTCGGTATAATTTTTTGTTTTCATTAGATATAACAATTTAAAAATAGTTTTTTTCCCATGTAATACATAAAAAAGGCATTTTATTGCAAATTAATATTACATTATGTTAAAAGTAAGTGCTTTTGTGCTTATCTTAAACTGTACTTATATAATCAACTTATATTCAAACAGCATTAAAACATCTGCGGTAACATTATCATAGTTTAAAAGCAACATTTTTTGCTAAATATAGCTATTGTCACGTAACGTCATTGTAACGTTTTGCCAAAGTTATAGCAGAAAGTTGTCTTCAAAGTTGTCAAAGGTAACAACCTTAGTTTAAGTCGGATATTTTTTGCTGAATACTTATCATTGATCAACACATTATACAAAACACAAAAATTATATCATTTACAAATGTTCTCCAATTAAAATAAGATATAAGCTATTCTGAGTTACTTTATGGAAGATTTAGATTAGAGTTTTATTTAAATATTTTAAGTTATTTAGTTTTTACACTTTGCGAAGAAATAAGATTATCTTATTATACACGGATAAAACAGGTCGATAACAATATCTTACAAGATCATCAGCGATGATAATGACAATGTTGGGTGGAAGCTGCGTAGAAGCGCAAGTCGAACCAAAATAAAAGATCACACTTAAAACTGTCAGTAAGAAAACAAATAATATGTTGTTCGGACTCATTGCTTTCACTAATTCTTCTATCAGTTCGATATTACTGAAGTTACGTAAAATTCACACACTCTCGCGTGAAATCATCGGGCGAGTTCAAAACGGCAAAACGGCTAGGCATGCTTACCGAACGATTGAATATGATTGGTTGGATCTAAAAGTAACAACCAATTATGTTCATTTGCTCGATGAGCAGGCTAGCCGCTTTGTCAACTTGAACGCGCCTATTGATACCTTGATGAGCTGTTCAAATTTTGAGATATTAAAGTTTAGCACGTTCAGTAAAGTAACTAATTCAATAAAACGACTAATTCATCTATCTTTACACACTTTATCTCTTTATACATAATACGAATTATGACAAAAAAATTTGGGAAAAAAATAATGAAAATGTTATATTATCGTATGATAATCTATAGATTTCGCCTTCTTTGTCATAGCTTCGTAAAGACACGTTGAACGTTCGTCCAGGTTCGCATTGGACTTGTCACTGCAAAGTGCGGCATATACATTGCGAAATTTATAGGTATACACGACAGAGCAATAGACAACCACATTCATGTGATTTAACACACGACCTCATTATAAAGATGTACAGGGTGTATCTGAAATAACGTATACTAATCATACAGTGCTATTCCTAATAAAAAACTGAGTCGAAAAGTCCTCTATCATTTTGCAATTTTCGCAATAGTTAACAAGATATTAATTACTAAAAATCGCTGAAAATTGGTTTTCAATAATTTTTTACTCAAATACTATCAACTTTACAGAAAAATTCCAACAGACAAAAATCATTTATTTTCTTCTCATAAAACTCTAAGAATTTTTTCAAAATGTTTTATCAACTTTTTAATATTGTATTTTCTTATTTTTACCAACATGAGAAAATACGGTATTAAAAAATTCTGAAAAAATTCTCATAACTTTATGAGAAGAAAATAAATGATTTTTGTCTGTTGGAATTTTTCTGTAAAGTTGATAGTATTTGAGTAAAAAATTATTGAAAACCAATTTTCAGCGATTTTTAGTAATTAATATCTTGTTAACTATTGCGAAAATTGCAAAATGATAGAGGACATTTCGACTCAGTTTTTTATTAGGAATAGTACTGTATGATGTGTACGTTATTTTAGACCCTGTATTTTATATCCATTCATACACAGATGCATGTAAAATACAATTGTAGTTTTTATCTTATCACTACAGTTTCTATGATACGAAAGATTATTACAACCTTAAATGTGTAATAAATTACTCAATCATCGTATCTTTCCAAATAAATTTGTAATATAATATCATTTATAAATACAACATTTCTTCATTTAATATATGCAGAAATATAATCAAAATAATTTAAAATACATTTAAAATTCATATATTGATTTTATTTCATAATTTATATACCTTTCATATCATATGCAATGTATATACAATTTATGCGGTTAATTTTAAATTATTATTCTTAGTATCAAGGAAGTGTGATCAATTAATAAGAAGGCCATAAAATATAATTTGCCTTTAGTAAGATCGCTTAATTTTAGCACAAATTAAACAATAAAAAGCACAATTAGTGAAATAAACTCGAAAAGGATATATTTTATTATATCAATAGATATATCTATAATACATGTCTTTCCAGAATTACAATTGTTTTGCTGCATTTACAAATTTATTCCACGCGTGCAATTGCGAAGAAAGGATATGCAAACAGGTTTGAATGAGCATTAATTGAGATAGTGTTTCGTAACCGGCAAGTTTAGATCAGTTAAAATAACCATCAATCCTCGACAGAGACATTCTTCAAGCACAGGAGACGAACGTATATTTAAAATTTATTAATACGTAGAAAGTTAAACAAAAACTTGTTAAATATGTATAATTAATAAGACTATTTGAAATTATCTATAAAATTATCTCCGTCCACATTATACATTGTCTGAAATAAAATTTTCCTTTCAATACGTAATTTTTTCTCCATTCGTTAATTGTCAACAGAGTTAGTAAAAAAATATATTTTAAACATATTTAATCGATATTTTAAACATATTTTTTTAAATACTATTTAAAGTATGTTCAAAACATTAAAAATATATTTAAAAAGAAATCACTATGTTCTTCAAAAAAAGAATATTTTTTATTACAAATTCCAAGTAAGATAAATTGTATTGCCAATGCGAGTAATACGCAATGTCACGGTGATGACAAAGTGACGTGAAATTAAAAAATCCACAATCAGTGAAATATTATTGTCAAGTTACACAATTAATCTGCAGTGACATTTTATTTCATCACATCTTATCATGATATTAGTGTTATTTTGAATATCCTGTTTTTATTCACAAATATCCATGTGACATCAAAACAAAAATTATTGTGATGCTACGCTATAACATACATAAAATAAATGTTAATTCGCTGAACAATGCAAATGCTGATTCGAACATAGTTCACATTTAAGGTTTCATGCGTGTAAAAATAAATTCGTCGCATGCGTTGTCCTGTTGTAACATTACATGTTCCACACCGCGTAATCTTCTTCCCTAAAAAAACGCGTGAAAGAAAAACAAAAGAATGCTTTTTTATTTCGGTACAACTTCGAAATCGGCTCCACGTGACAGCGAATACTTTAATTAAACCGACCGAATTTCGTTACGTGCTCGTCTGTATTTCGAATTGTTCAAACAAAAGCTTTGCACACGACTGCTACGAGGATGATCCCGATGTGAAAATAGTACACCAAACTGGCCAAATGAGCAGCCGCGTTGCACAGAAATATATCACTTGATAGTATCCATAGTTCCCACGTATTATTCGTTCTTCTTGGATTAGCAAGCCATTGACGGCTTAATCTGCATCGCGACGAAAAATTAAATCTTGAAAGCTCTTAGGTCACTTTCAGAGTGATATACCGGTTTTTCTAATTCAAGTTACAATCATATACGATATGAAAGTCAAAATTTCGCTAATAAAATATGTGCCGTTTTTTCTTAAAAATTATTAAATGATCTTTTTTTCAAAGAATTATTGAAGAGCGAGAAGTATAGAATTCAGATTGTATCAGAAGACAAAAGAAGAAAACATTATCAAGGAGCTTTTCACTTAAAAATCGCGATTAAAAATGAAACAATTGTAAAAAATATGTTTCTTAGTATCAAATTGACCTTAAAATTCATCTATTTATGATAACGATTAACGAATGCATCGATGTCTCAAAACTGGTATCAGTCGAGTTTTTCACCAAAATCGCAAACGATCTCAGATAAGGTCTGAGTGAAGTCATTATGTTTCCACGTAGTTTCGTTCATCGTAAAATGTATTTCATTGCTCGGTTCATAGTCGTCCGGCAACAAAGACATCCAAGTGTTGTTAAAGTTGTTAAAATTGGACGGATAGCCAGCAGGATCGGGCGAGTCTAATTGATTTCTTTTACGAAGCCTAGCCGTTTATAGCAATCGATAAGCACGTTCAATCTCTGCACGTAATCTGCAAACGTAACGATGTTTTTTTAAGTTGACAGCATTTTCTATTTTTATCTCGTCTCCGCCAGGTGGAACGACGATTACGTAATTATTTGTACCAGCCATTTTCTTTCGTAGCGATCGCAAACAATACAATTTTAAACAAAAAATAAAACTCTTATTGTTCGGACTTATCCGCTATCAAGCAATGGCGAATCACATTTTGTTCTTCTTTAAAATTATTTTATATTAATAACAAATAATGTTAATTATTGTAATATAAAGTATATATAAATCCTCTAAATAAAAACTTCTATAATTGATAAATAATAGTCGACTTTATACAAATTTTTTCTTAGGTATTTGCAATTCACTCTTGCTTATATCAAAAACATCGAAAACATGTAATGATGTTTATCTGAAACGTTGTGTGCGTTCTATATACAGTCACGTGTTGTATAGTGTGGCATTAAGCGTAATCGCACTATCATTAAATGCGAGAAATGAGTTGCAGTTCTCACTACTTTAATATACCCTCTTTTCTCTAAATGTATATTATTTTGCAAATATTTTAATTTAATCTTATCTTAGGATACTTCGAAAATATATCTGTAATTTCGTAAGGATCTTTATAAATATCGAACAAGCAAACATGGGTCTCGCAACTGGAGAAATTCATAAGATTCTCGCAAACTATTGTGGCCTCTTTCCGGAGGCTTTCTTTATTTTATTTGCAGTCACTCAACATGAGTTGAAACATTCGCTATGGCCAATGCGGTTGATGATTTTAGCACATTTATCACGTTGTACTTGGAAAAGATACTACAGGTCGCTACTGTTATAATAGTATAATGCTTCTGATATTCGGACTTATCTGTATGAGAAAGACCATAATTAATTTTTGTATTAATCGTTTATTCTTAAACTATAATAATAAAATATTAATTTTAAAAAGATACTAAAATTTAATTGAATATAGTAATTTGCCTTTACGTAAGATTACATGATTCTAGCACAAATTAAGCAATAAAAATCTCATCGGTCAATTCTAAGCAGAATCGTGAGGCTCGTAATTTGTTCTTGTAAAACTTGTAAGAATTTATGACTGATATTAAAATTCTATGCGTATATATCGCATGATAATTCGTTAATATGTACGATTTCTCGTAAATCTTATGTCTAACAAAAAGCTATCTGTAAAGATACATAAAGTTATAAGCAGTTGTAAGCTTTTACAAATCTTATGAGAATTACGAGCTTTACGATTCTATTTAGAACTGACTCATTTAAACTGACGCGTTTAATTATGAAGAAAGAAACAGATTTGAATGCGTATTAATTGAGATAGATATTTCATAATATTCAAAATAAGTTTAAAGCTAAGAGAATCGTCGATCCTCAGTAGAATCACGTATTAGAGTTAAATAAAAATATTGTCGAATAACTGTAGATAAGACTATTTATTTATGTATAAAGTTTTTACGAAAAAATACGTAGATTGAGACAAGATCTTAGAAATTCTTAGTTTTCCGTCGATACTCGTAATAGGACGCGAAGTGGCACTATGTATTTAAAAAACCAAGAAATATCCTCCGCTCTTTTCGTATACGTCTTCTGATACTGTACTTACGCGTTTTTACGTATCTTGTATCATGAAACAAGCAACGCCACTCTACGAATATCATATGAAAAACTAAGAATTTTTAAGATCTTGTCCCGATTTATGTAGTTTTTTGTACTTTTTCATAAAAATATTTTCCGTCAGGGATTATTTGAGATAAGATTTCTTTTCAATATGTATTCATTTTCAAATAAAAGTATAGTAGGATAAGCTATCTTCGGCTCAAATGGGATAAGCCATATCACCAATCGAAGTAACACGCAATGTTACAATGATGTCAAAATGAATAAACATGTCAAATTCAATAAATCTACAATTACCCAAGAAACACATAAAAGTTAACAAAAAGTCAAAAGTCTTTATTTTGATTCTTAACTTCAAATTTTATAACAAAAAAATCATCATTTGACTTTTATGACGTCAAAATAAAGTTATTTTAACTTTTTCTTAACTTAGTCTATTTCTTGGACAGTGAAATACCATCAATTAAATCTCACATTCAAATTTCATCTTAGGTCTGTTTTCTGTGGTTAAAATAATATACACTTTTGGAACTTAAAA